GATAGATAGATAGATAGATAGATAGATAGATAGATAGACAGACAGATAGATAAATAGATAGATAGAACGACAGACAGACAGACAGAATGATAGACAAAACAATAGATAGAATGAACGACAGACAGACAGACAGACAGATAGATCACGTCTGACTGACTCTCTTATGGCTGGCTGACACACGTGCTGTTTTATGAGCATGTGACAGACAGAGAGAGATGGGCTTTTAAAAGACAGTCAAGCGTGGATCTTTTAACCAGGTTTTGACCATGAAAGTGTCTTTACAATGTCACACAACTTTTGCACAACTTCCTTATGACTACTGAAGTCATAGGATGCTTTGTGAGAAAACCACACCAAACATTAGAGCCTATTCACTGATAATTTCTCCTCCACAGCTCTGAAAAACCATTCACATTTCTGCATCGCATTTCAACTTCAAGCTTGCATTTGGTTACAAAGTGTCATTAATGTAAACCTGGCACATCTATGAGCATAATAAGTTTAAATATTTACATTCATGCATTCAGCAGATGCTTTTAACCAAAGTGACTTACATTGCATTCGAGGTATATGTTTTATCAGTTCATGCATTCCTTTAGAATCGGACCCATGACCTAAATGCTCTACTGTTCGAGCAAGAGAAATTTGCATGTTTGAATGAAGTTATAACTGAATAACCACTTAAATTTGGGCTTGTTCCTCACTCAAAGCTATCATATGACTTGGAATATAGCAAAGGAGTCATATTGACTACTTTTAAGGTGCTTTTTGGATCTTGACAGTCCCTGCTCTAAAAAAAAAAAAAAAAGAAGTATGAACATAGTTTATGCACACAGCACACATCTATTCATGAAAACACATCATACACAGCTTAAGATCACACTGCACAAACCGCAGTAAAATCAAACAGCTAATTGAGCTCAAACTGTTCAAACACATATGAACAGTCCATACTTTCTCTATACAGATTTCCTATGTAAGTGTTAAAGTGTATAATTATGCTCTTTGTGCGCTCTGACCTACCTTTGCTCACAGCAGGCCCTTCACACCAGGAAAACAGCACACAAACACACTTCCTCACCCACTCACTATCAGCACAATTTACAGCAAAACACACACTGAAGTCAAAAGCACTGCATATGCAACTACTGCAGTTCACAGTCCTGCTAATGCACACCAGCACAACTGCAACACTTTCTCAAAAGTCATCTTTCAAGCATCCCAGTAGTCACATGCATGCAATAGTTTCTATCATATCTTATCGGATGCACTATCCAACTGGGAATTACCTGATTGTCCATCCTGAGCTTCCTCATTCCAGCACAGAAGAGCTGCTTCGCTCCAGAGATGTGGTCAGCAGGGCAGAACAGGGTCCAGAGAGACGCAGCCAAAGCAAACAGTCATAAAATGCGAATAAGTGTGTTTTCCCGTGCACGTTCAGGCGCTGCGTCCATGCAGGATCACCTCCAGCACTGGAACAATCTCTCTTCTGATCTCTCCCGCTGTCATGCACTCAAACACTCCTCCCTCCAGCCTCGCTCTCCACACACATACACACACACGGCCTATCAGATCAAACTGGCTCACATCTGAAGCTTGGGTTTCATCTGGATCTTCTGTGGCTTTGTGGGAAGAAGTCATCTGTTATGCTTGGAAACCACTGAAAGCCACAGAGGAAAACATAAATGTTTCACATGTATAATGCAAGACATCCATGCCTATGTGTGTTTAAGTGTGTGTGCATGTAGAAAAATATCTTTGCAGACTCTGACACTCACACACACACACACACACACACACTCTTAAACAGAAGTGGGTCATGGATGGAAAAATTAAAGGAGAAATTAACCTGCCTGTGTGTGTTCATGCGACGTGCTGGGGTGAATTAGACTACGACTGCAGAAATCAACACCAGTCCTCGTCACGCTGAGGTTAATCACCATCTCTCACCCACAAGGTTTGTACGAGGACACTGAGAACAAACACTCAAGATACACTTACAAGACACAAAACAGTAAGAGAGAATGACTGGCCTTCACCGGATAAAAACGGAACAGATGAAGACAGAAAATCAGGACAGAATCTACAGAACATTGCCTTCTTCACAAGAGTCTGTCTGTGGTTTTTCCACTTTGAAATCAGACCTGTTTGGGAGTTTATTAGTGTCATTTGATTAGTAAAGCATCACTATTACTAGTGCTCATGCTCATAGTTGAGCATGAAACCTCTAAAACCAGTTACTGAAGTACGTGTTCTTTTAGTATTATTTATATATTATTATTGTATTTAATAATATTTTTAATTAGCTTTTATTTTTATGATTTCATATTTTAATTTTATTTACATTTTCATTTAAATTTGGTTTGTTTTAGCAATTTTGTTATGTGATTTTTTTTAGTTATTTATAATATGTATAGAAATACTTCAATTCTTACGATTTTTATAGCTAATAGTTTTCAATATTTTCAATAAATGCTTGCTAACTGAGGCACTTCAGTTGTTGTTTTTTTCTTTGTTTATTAACAAATCTTCAAAATCATAAAATAATTAAAAAAAATAAATAAAAAAAATCACTTCAACTTATTGTAAATTTATTAGTTTTTTAAGCTTAAGTTTGTCATTTACTATTTGTTTTATTTTATTTCAGATTTAGTTAAATGACCAAAAATGTATCATCAAAACTGCATGAATTTATGTTAATGAACACTTGTTTTTACAAATGCAACAATTGAACAATTAATATATGCATTGTTCTCTCTGTCTGTCATTCTCTCATCTATTGCCATCTCTCTATCAATCTGTCATTCATCGTTCTATTAATTGTTCTCTGTCGTTCTGTCATTCTATCATTCTTTCTCTGTATCTTTTGTTATCTCCGTCTACCTATTGTTCTCCCTATCTCTGTCATTCTATCATCTATCTATCTATCTATCTATCTATCTATCTATCTATCTATCTATCTATCTACATACTAGCAGTCCTGCTGCCTAATTACTAATACATGTCTTTCTTCAGCTCAAAACGGAACTGAACGTGGCCTGTTTGTTGCCAGCGTTAGGCTGTGTGTTGCTCCCCACCGCTGTCCTGTTTTCTGACCTATCAAAACAGACCCAAGTCCCACCCTGTCCTCTCACTATAACATCAAAGATCGGTGTCCTTAAATTACAGCCACGATGAAGCCGATAAACAGTTTGGTTCCTCGACTAGTTTATGCATTAAAATCTTCTCACAGAGCTGATCTGTGTGCTTTCAAACTAATAATAGGAATTTGATGCATTACATGAAGACAGAGCTGAAACCACTTATATGCTATTTTGTGCTACCAAAAACAGTAACATCTTGTGTATAAATTAATCACATTACCCATAAGGATGCATAATTAATTTATTCAAGTACTTCTCAAAGCTAGATTGCACTTAGTCATCAATAAACTAGATTTTTACAGTTATGAAGAAAATGTGAGAGGTTTCTTACAAAACTCACTGTGGCTTGATGTTGAGGTGGTCAGATCGTTGCTATGTATTGCTTGGTGGTTGCTTACAGATCCATGTCAATTATTCAGGTCCGTAGTTATGGATCGGGTCCCCCCTTCAGTGCAAATCTGTGAGATTAATGCAAGTTAACTGGCCAAGAAGACACATGCTTTGAGGAATTATTCATGTCTGGAGCACAAACACATCGCATTACTAAGTCTAAATATGGAATAAGCAATAATAATAGTGATACTTGATCTAGTCAACACTACTAATTAAGACTAGCCAGTAAAAACAAAACCTCTACTTGTAGCCTTAAAGATGCCTGGACTGTTTTAACATTGAAAACAAACTAGTGGAATAACTTGTACTCTGAGATCAATGCAAAAGACCTCAAAATTCCCAACATGTCGAAAGCCACAACACTGACCCTCAGTCCGTTATATACTATATATAGATAATAATAATAGATCTGTGACGAATTGCTTTTGTTCAAGTCACTTTGGATAAAATTGTCTGCTAAATGCACAAATGTAAATGTAAGGAAGACGAATATTAAAACTGTCACAATTACTAATGAAAACAATGTGTATAATAGGGCATCAAAATATTACAGTACAATGCATTATCCAGGTTTCATAGAGAGTGCTGCTATAAATTCATGTGGCCAAAATGACTCCGCGATTTCAGCACATTTTTCAGCCCCTAACAAAAGCATCATCATCCATTCATTTCTGAACAGCTTCTTTCATTTCATGTGAAAATGTTCATATGTGCACAACTGTGCAAAAAATTCAACCAGCACATTAAACATATTAAACGCCAAAATGATTTAATCTAAAACAAAATAATTAAAGTGCTGACTAATAAGCATGTTTCTGTTCATAAAGAACACCATCACTGGGTATTCTGGGAAATGCACAGGAAGGTAACACACACACAATGCAAGTTCCTCTTTCAAAAAAAAAAAGCAAATAACTAGGAACTAATCTTGAATAAACTGTGAAAACTTCCAAAGTTTTTAGAAATTAAAGAATGTCGTCTTTGCTCTCCAGTGGACGCCACTGACCTGTGGGATGCCCTGTCAGAAAGGACTGAATGCAAATTCATTAATCCAAGTAAAATCAAAACCAAGACCACATACTCTACAAAGGCCCAAATGCATCTGAATGACTCACTGAGTGTTCATTGTACAACACTTGTCTGCTTTTAACCACTACTGCACATTAAGGAAATAAAAAAAAATTGCTGAGCACTAAAAAAAAAAACACAGCGCTCACTGAAAATGAGAGTGTGGTTAATTTTGTTTAAGACATGAAACACTTTCACAGGAAATTGCTTTGCCAAAACTGAAAATACACAAAACTCAAGAGTTAACAAGGATCTGTGAACAGGTTGAACAGAGCTTAACTAACAAGCATTTCAAATAGTTTATTAGACCATCTTTCACTAATTAAAAATAAAAAAATATATAATTTACACACATAACAAACCTAGTCAGCACACAGATATTTTCCTGAGCAATACATTTTCTTGCAATTTATGTATATGGGTATGACTTGAAATATATACTTGACATGCCCTAAACTCCATCTAAAACAGCATTTTGTTAATTCATGCATAATTATACATGCAGTTTTAATAAACTCACATAAATTGAGAGATTACATGGAATAACCACCCTTCCGTACAATTAATTTGTCACACCACACTGAGCATTTGAGCATTTAACATGAACATTAAGGCAAAAAAGTGATACAAATGCTAAATATGTCAAAGTAAGCACCTAAATTATAGATTCATATCATTTTTAATCTGCATTCTTGATGATCATTAAAACAATATTCTAGAATATCCTAAATAGTATCTATTGGCATTAACAGAATTGTTGAACTGTTATCTGTAAAATAGATGTAAGTATAGTTTAGAACTTACAGCAAATTAAATGTGCTTTAGCAAACTTCATCGTAAAAAAAAAAAAAAAAAAAGGTCTAATGAGAAAAACTGTATTTACATTAATAAATAATGCAATAAAATAAGTGAGTCTTTCTTTCATGCTCATTTTGGATTTGAGCCTCTCAGTTGTTTTTGATCACTGACCATCTACATGACTGACTTGACGTTCTGTAAATAGCAATGTCTGATAACAACCAAATTGCACATTTAAAGCAACACTGCATGCTTGAACACAAACACAGAGCTGAAATGAGCTGTTAAACACACACTGCTGACTCAGTGTCACTGAGGGGTGCGGCGGCCGCTGCTCTATGTGCTATAAGAAAAAAAAACAAAAATAATTAAAACATTCACACACACATACTCAGCTGAGCTTGAATGCAATAAGGCTGATAAACCACGTTATTGCCACTTCCCCAAATCCTACATGCAGCTCTTCTTTCTGTCCATCAGACGGTCATTTTTCTCTTTCTGACAGACAGCGCAGCTCGGCTTGGCTGATGGACATGAGGTCTCTGCTGATACTAGCAGGTAAAAAGACAAAAGCTCAGCATCATCTTATTGTCAGATTCTGTGTAATCAATGTTTGGACAGCTCTCTGCTACAGTAAAGTTGAAGTTTATTTCAAGCCAGTTTGCAGCTTTCACTCAACTGAAGAGGCAAATTACTTAACAAGCTTTGTTCGTCTGGTTAACAAACTGGCATTAAACAGTGATAAATGTTGACAATTTTCCAAAAAAGAATCCAATTTCAGGGCAAACATCACAGGAGATATGAATTATTATATTATTTTTTGGTAATAATGCTGTTACTCAGATTTGCATTACAGTGCCACAAACATTTTTTTAGATATGTAAAGATGTTTTTGAAGGCGTGCAAAAACAACTTTCAAATAGTTGTGGTACTTGTATCCAATATTTTGCATAATTAACAAACTTTCATGATGCACAAAACAGATCATTATTATTATTTTTTTAATATTGCAAAAATATTATATATTGTATATAATATTTACTGTGCTTCAAAGAAAGCAAAATCTGTCATTAATTTTGTTGGGTGATTAATGCCTAAAATATATATTTTTTAACTCCTTAGTCATCATTCAGAAATA